TTTTAAATGCATTTCCAATTGATAGAGTATGAATCGCATGAATTTGGCTCTATCGACTCCGCATGTCCGGCAGCTGACATGACAGATACTTCGCAGCCGCTTTCCTCGTGGCGTACGCAGCATACCCGTTCCCGATTATGGGCATACTACAACAACTAGTCAAACACATGCTGCCATATAGAGCAGATGTGTGTGGGCCTATTTTGAGGCCCCACTAGTCGAGTGTTTGTTATCTGTCGCTTTTGCTGCTGCTGTTGTTGCTGTTGTTGCTGCTGCTGTTGTTGTTGGCTGGCAAGGACATGTTTCGTAGGCTGCAGACTGTTTGGCTGGCAGCTGCGTGCACGCAAATAGAAAAGATACTCAAGGCACTCATTTGAACGAGACGAGGCACACACACGCAACTGTTACGTGATGAGTGAGCGCGTCATGCGGGCCGAGGAGCCACAGCAACCGCAGCGTGCCGCACAGCGTGCCACACAGAGTGCTACACAGCAACTGAAAACGGTTGAAAGCATCTAGCAAGCAGTTGGCCATACAAACAAAACAGCCATCAGTGGGCGTTTAAGCCAAGTCGCCTGATGTCCGCAACGAGATTTAAATAGAATCAAATTAGTGTGCCATTTGCATTTACTGGCTAGCAGCAGCGCCCCGCTCATTTGGGATTGGGTTGCCAGCCCCACTTTTACGGTGTAGGGCGTAGGTTGTAGGGTTCACTCACTGCCAGTTCAATGTACTACGCACCGTGCACTGTGCTGCATGAGGAATTGTTTGCTGTGCAGCTTAAATCGCTTACCGAAAACATAAATCCAAATACATATAGACAACAACGCGGACGGACAGCCAGGTGGAGGACGACGGTCGTCGACGTTTCATTTGCCTTTGTCAACGGTTTTTGCCATTTAGTCAGTGGCACAAACACAAACAGCCAGACCAACAGACAACCAGACAGTCAGGCAGCCAGACGACGGGCCAGGTGAGTTTGAATCTGAGTTACAGTTACAAAGCGCCCAGCACGGTGCACGGTGTACGGAGCACCATGTAGCGGCATTGACAGTTTGAGCTTAAAAATCCAATTAGTCTTTGATTTGCATACAAACATACAAAGCAACAGCAGACAAGATGGAAAGAGACATAAGCCAGCGCAAGAGAGAGACAGATAGAGACAACGATGACAAACAAACAGACAGACAGACAGACAGACAGACAGACAGACCGAAAGTCGCAGAATTTCTTGCTAAATATTTTAAGACCTACATTCGGATTTGGATTCGGATTCGGCCAGGTTACAAAACATCTAAAGCTAGCAGGGGCAAACAGTAGCAGGAGGTACGTGCGGCATCTTCAGCCCGCACCACAATAGACAATTGGATTTTTGCGGTTTCTAATCCAATTTATTTCGTCTTAAATACGAAAACCTGCTCGCCTGCTCGCTCGCTCGCTCGCTCGCTCGATGAGCGTCCTTTGGCTCTGTTCATTGTTGTTGTTTTTGTTGACTGTATGCTACAAAGTATCCTGTTTTCGGGTGCGGTTCAATGTAATTTAATGGCTGGCAACGGTCAGGCCACACACACACACACACTCGAACATATATAAGCATTATACATTTACAGTAAGTCGCAAAGTTAAGCTCTCAAACACACACACACACACACACGCACACGCACCCACACATAGAGGCTGAGTCACCTGCTCACTCAAATCGTCGACGACAGCTCTCAGCAAACTAATTTAAATATTTCAGCAATTAAAGAGTCCAGGCAATTAAAATAAACCAAACACCCAAAGCGCCACCGCAACTCAAACTACAAGCACAACAAAAGGGAACAGGAAATGGATTTTGTGGTCAGACCCTCAAGAAGTCGAAGTCCAGCTACACTATCAACCAAAACAAGAGTATCAAATTACAAAGAAGAAAACATATTTGGTTAATTTGGTTAATAAAATCTTGAAATTATAAATACTATATTTAAAGCACTTAAATAAATCGATAAATTAAATTCGTATTTCGTTAAACAAAAAACGAATTCGATGTTATATTAATCTAAATTATATTTAAGTAAATTTTATACATATATTATAATAACATAAATTGTATTACTTAATATTAAATGGTGCAAAATATATAATAAATAAAGCTTAATTTTTCTCAAAGTATTTTGTGTTAAAAATAGTTCTGAAACATAATTGTGGCATATAAAAATTTCGAAATATATACACAAATTTATTGGAATAGAATAAGCGAGAAGCCGTGATCGTCGATATCATATGCAGAAAAAACGCTAGGTGGACTGTGATTGTTGGGCGACTTATGTTCGCTTAAGAGAAGTGTCCGCTTAACGGAGTGGTCCTCTTTTAGAAATTTTCCATATAAAAAGAAAATGTCTAACCAAGAACCACACAAAACATAGATTGATAGTATTTTAGTTTTGTGTATCAGTAAATAGTATACTACGAAATTTTAAATACTTGTCAGGATATTTAGAGTATATATAGATTGATACGCGCAAATACAAGATAAATATATTGCCATATTAAATAATATAATAATAGAGGATAGTTGAACTAACAGCGCCGCAATTTTCTTCTCAATTCTCATTCAAATAAAATACATAAGTCTAATACTAAGAACAAGTGTTGAGAAAGAACTTTTAGTCTTAAGTATCATATAATATTATATTAGGCCCAAAAATTTGATGAAGGCAACAAGGGAAAAAACATAATAAGGACAGAACAGAGATTAAGAGTGCAGAGGCAAAGTTTTGCATATCGATAGCCATAATAATCGATAACATGGCATGGATAATCAAACAAACAGCAGACAGCTTCTTGTTGAGCTAATTATTATAGGCATTATCGATATTGTGAAGCATTCGTTATACCCCTTCATCGCCAGGGTATAACAATCAACACCGTGTGACTAACAACCTGTATGCCGTTTCCCCTATGCCACACACACAGTCGCACACACACTCTCGCACACACACACACGCAAGCTGTTCTCGCCATTGGCCATCGCTCATTGTGTGTCCTGTGTGTGCTGTTTGTTGTGGACAACGTTCAATCAATGTCAACGTCGTTGTCATCCTGCCGCCTGATCCTGTTGCTGGCTGCTCGCTGTTGTTGTTTTTGCCATTGCTTTGATGGCATGGAACGCTGGCCAACCGTCTTCACATTTGCCTACCATAATTTTGAGTCCAGTTTGGCGGCAGTTATTCCATCAGCGGCTGTGCCTCGGATGCGGCTCTAGCTGGGCTTAGTTCCTCTCTCCTTTATGTCCTCGCTCGCCACCCCGCTGCAAAATTTGGGACAATGCTGAGCAATTGGCATTCACTCAGCGATTACAGCTACATTGGAGGCTAGCTCGACCCTCGATTGTGGCGGGAGCCTCGTGCCTCCGCAACTGTCAATATCACACGCAGCGCTGGACACATGACAGACACATTGACACATGGCGTACAAAGGCAAAGACACACACACACACAGACACACACACTCACTGGGAGACAGAAACACAAAGCAACATATTCTCTTTCTGTCTAATGCCGTCTGCCTGTCTCTTTCTAGCCATGTGTGTGTGTGTGTCTCTCTGTCGATGTATTAAGTGGAAACACCTTGTAAAATGGCTGACAGGTGTTAGAAGACTTTGCAAGATTTATGCGCTGACATTAACATGAATATGTATTAGTGTGACAGCACTGCAGCTATCCGTGTGTCTCTGTGTGTGTGTGTGTGTGTATGTACGTATGCTGGTCGCCCAGGCAGTTAAAGGATAACAGCGCATTAAGTTAAGCATTACAACAACGGCAACAATTCAAAGAGTCTCACACAGAGACATGAACACGTGTGCCAGGACACGCTGTGGTTGCAACAATTAAAGTTTATTTGCTGCGCCCACACACACACACACACACACACTAGCACAGTGACACACGCACTTATTCAGACAGACAGGACGACGTGAACATGGCATTTGTGTATTTATAGTAGGTCCGCCTTGCCACAAAATTAAATAAAAGCAAAAGTCAACAAGGAACATAGATTTGCTTGCCTGCCTGCGCTTTCTGGCAAGGTAAACAACAATACAACAGCAGCAACAATAACAACAACAACAACAACAGCAACACTATGAAACAACATGTAAGCCATCATCGTTACAACGGACAACAGACCTATAGAGACACCCGGCGGCCTCAACTGGACCTCGACTGACGACCTCTTTAACTGCTCGCGATGGACGCGTGAGTTTCTATCTAATCGTATAGCAGAAATACGAGCATGTGTAATATATATAAACAAATTTAACAATGCATTCAAATATATTATAAATCATAAAATGCCAAATAGAGTTTGTAATATAAAACTATCTAAGAGCAGAGCAGAAGTTCGTGGCAATTATATTATCTATATACTATCTAAGCACACAAAAATTTTGAACATTTCATTAGGAAAAAGAAGCTAATACAATATTCTAATAATATAATTTACAGACTAGTTCAAAATAAAGAGGTAACTGGGTATTTCCTCCTTTAGATTCCGAATAAACTGGGTAAATTAAAATGTATAAGTATTTCCGAAAATTTTGTATAGTGTTTGAAAACTTTCAAGATAGGAAGAGAGATAGAGATAGAAAGAGAGGTAGAAATAAGGAGAGAGATATAGATAAATAAATTGAAAGGCAGGGAGAAAGAATGAACGAGAGAGAGAGAGAGAAAGAGAGAGAGAGAGAGAGAGAGAGAGGGAGAGAGCGAGGGAAAGGGATATAGAAGGAAAGAAAGAGAGAGGGAAATAGGAAAAGTTTTCTTAACTGGCCAGATAAAAGTAAACATATTTCATCCATTTATCTAGCTAAATGTATGTATTGCAATTATAAATATAGAAATCATTTAGATTTCCGTTTAGCGTACTTCATTTAATATTTGAAAAGTCATCAAATTTTTTTTAAAGTAATTCACTCAATAATAATAATAATATTTAAATGTTAATCAATACAAATCACTTACTTGAATTTGTTGTAAGATATGCAAAAATATAATTTAGATCCTTTTTCCATGCTATTTAAAATGTGATTCTTTATTTTTTTTAGCAACCAATTATTGCTGGCAGTGTCTAAAAATAAAAATAAACAGAAAGACAGCAAAATTATTAATTTGTTCAGATTAAAAACATAAGCTTAAAGCTTAAAAATTAAAGCAGCTTTTTATACCCACGACCAGGAACACGAATCGAACCTTAAGGCAAGGCATTTGTTTGAACCAACGCACAACCGAAATTATTTGTTTTGCCAGTTGCATTGTTTTCAATATATTAAACTATTTCTTATTTAGGGAAAATAGCAATAAAATGCATCTTGGTTTTTTACATTTTGAACTAGAGTGTAAAAAATGGTTTAAATTCGAGTTCACTTCGGGTTTGATTCAGGTTGAATAAAAAAGAAAAGTTTCTGGCTCAAACTTATCCATTATATAACAATTCAATTCAATAATTCATTCAATTTTCGATTTCTGGCTCGAGTGATGTCGCTGCGGCATAAGTTTAGAATTTGTTTCAAAAGTTACCTAACGATATATTTAGATGTGTCTTGTTTTCAAAATATTTTATTAATATTATTATTCATTATGCAATCATATTATTTCAAAATATATGAGTTCAAGTGTTGCAGCTATAAAATGCGTCCATCTCTAGCTCGTGTGATTGTTGTGGCATTCTGCAGTCAGGTTTGCTGCTGTCAGCCATTTTGGTGGTGTGTGTCGAGATGTTGCTGTTGTTGCTATTGTTGATGTTGTTGTTATTGTTGCTGCTGGTACCTGCTGCTTGCCTCATTATGATTGTCAAAGTGACGGACTGGTCATGCAAAGGTAAACACAAAATGTGTAAATACAAAGGCATATATCAAGGATATATATGTGTGTGATATGGTGTCACCAGCTCCACCCCTCCTCTACATTCTAACAATCGCCCGCTCTTGCTGCCCCGTCTTCAGTGTTGGCATTGTAATTATCATTGCGACACTAAATATTTGTTGTTTGCTTAAGTGCTTTGAATGCCAGGCCCAGGCAGGTCAGGTAGCTAGCTAGCCGGGCAGCCAGCTGGGCAAGCAAATCAATAGGCTGGCTTTGGTTACCTTTGCATTTGGCAATATCAGGGCATACTTTACGGCTTTAAAGACGGAAATTGCTTTTTATGTGCCTTTAAGTAGGCAGAACGATTCATTTTTATGTCATTCTGCTGTCGTCGCCCGCCCTCTCCGCCGTCTTCTCCGCTCGGCAACCGTTTGTCATTCATTATTTGCACTTTTTTGTTTCAGCTTCTTCTTGCTCGTTCGCGATTCTCGTAAAGCTCATGAATTTTTTATTATGTTTTCCGGCTTTACACAGCGCTCTTCCTCTTACACTCCATTGTGTTCTTGTAGATGTTGTTGTTTCATTTTTAAATTATTAAATTTTATTGGCGTATCATTTTTTATGTGCGACCGCTGCTGAAACATTATATTTCGATTAGCACCTGTTTGTTTTTTGTGCCTCGTCGCCCATTTCCCATTTCCCATTTCACATTTCACTTTTCACGGTCGCCACCCAACACCTCGCCCCTTTTAAGGGGGGGCAGAGGTGTGTCGGCTGGTGTTTACGTCTTGTTCTGGCATTGTTTGCGGCTTTTTAGCCAAGTCCTTTGGCTGTCGATCACAGCTGACGATGCCACCTGCTAGACAACAGGTGCGATTCCTGCCCCTTGGCTGCCACCGTTCTGATTGTCGTTACTTTTTATTGCACTACGCTTGAGCTGAAATTTCATCGGCACATAAACAAAAGACACGTTTTGATTTACACTAAATTAAATGCGATGCGTTTTACACACGGCCAAGTTCAGCCGAGCAGAGAAACAGGCACAACCAGCTTGGAGTTCAAGTTATGCTGGATATTAATTTAAATAGAGTGCTTAAATTATGAAAATATAACCCAACCACACCAACTCCCATGGGGCCAAAAGGACCTTTGTTGGTTAATCCCATTCCACTTACCTAAATAGACGCAAAAAAAGGGGCATTTAAATTATGCAGATCTTGATTTATAAAGAGTTTTAAGTCTTGCATTTGTTTAATTATTTATATTTAATTTCAGTTATGAAACCTTTTATGTTTTATAATTAATAGCTTTTAATAGAACTGTGTGATAATAAATCAGGCGGCTATCAAGCTTTATTAAACACATTTACATACGATTTCAGGCAGCACCTACGCTTTATTAGCCGATTTAGATTATCGCAATAATTCAATTACTTCGATAAATCATTTCGGTTTGTGTACATGAAACTCGTAATAATTAATCAGCTAATAAATTTTGTGCTTTTGGTGGAAAAACTTCATAAAGCAAGTTTAGTGTTGCACAACGTTAATATTAAAACTAAAGCAACCCTAGTTGCCAGTGTTAACAATATTTGCAGACTTTTTCAGATCAAGTTATACTGCTGAGTTGTAGAAAACAGCTTCCATCTACATTGTTTTGAGAGTGTTTAAATGGTATCATAATTTAGTAGAGGTCCAGAAAGTGTAATTAAAAAGTATAATTAGTATAAAAGTATAATTATAAGTGTAATTAAAAAGTACAATTAAATACCGCTTAGGGTTTGATAACTTACTAAGCTGGTTATCAGTACACTATATAATAAAAATACCATTATTATTTGTATCTTAAAAGTTCGTATATCTCTAATATCCAACCCCTACAGCCTGCCTGTAGCTGGACAATCCTCTCGAATATATAATATTATATTAATATATATAGCTATAGCCCATGGTAGTAGCCAGACTATACAAATATAACGGTTCCCTTTTCTTTTGATGTGTGTAACTGCTGTGATTCAGATTGAATAATTGATTTTGTAAAAAACAAGCAGAATGTCGACGACAGATAATTATGTTTAATTTGTACTTACGTTAATTAACTTGATTATCATAAATTGCGATGCGATGCCAAGGAAAAGCAGGTACATTAAAATGACTTGCTTCTTAGGAGCGGGGGGGGGGGGGCTGCAGCAGCCGAGCAAGATGTTGCTCCTTGTTATTGCATGGATTGGGCTGTGTGGTCCTTCAGCTTGAATTGCAGTTGTCGTCGGCTGCCCGCGGCACGGCCCCTTGGGGAATAATGGAATATATTCTGTTGTCGTTGTCAGGGCGCCTTCAACAACTGCAACTCAATGCCAACTAATTAATGTGCCGATGTAATGGGCGATATTCAGGCCTGAAACGTGGGTGGGCTGTCACGAATAATTCCTGCTCGGTCGGTCAGTTAATAAACTGTCAATGTGTTCGTGTCCCTGTCTGTCCATGTGTGTCCCTGTGAGTGTGCGTGCGTGTGTGTGGGCGAGCTTGTGGTTGAAGTCGTTGAATGATGCCATTTAAATTGATTTCAGAGACTCATTCAATGGCCACGATGACAGTTCGGGACGTATTTCTTTCTATGGCAACTGCAACTGCAACTGCAACTGCAACTGGAGCTGGAGCCACTGTCAATTGTCCATTTGTCTCCCAACTTTCCATCTGACCAACTGTCCTGTCAGCCAGCCATTGCCTCGTGCGTATTTTTATTGAATACACATTCATCGAAAGCTTCACGTAAAAATTAAAAACCAAAAAAAAATTACAATTAAGAATGCTTCGGTACGAAATGATCGACTAGAAGGTACCCAGCACCCATTGACGAGCTGCCATAACAAATATTGGAATTTTGTTGTATACGTAGATCCCCAAAAATTTCTGCTGCTTCCCTCAGCCACACTTTATGGGTAATGCGATCTGGAGTAACTTCGTTATTTATACTCCGATCTTTAAGAAATTTCCATCCCTGTGGATGTAAATACCTAAGCCCAAGGCTACAACTCCAAATAATTTGGTGGATGTATCCCAAGACTTAAATTCTCTGCTAGACTCTGTACTAGACAAGTGCCAAGTATTTTGACTTCCACTCGCATAAGCTTCGATATATGCTCTGAGCACCCAATATGAACTTGATTGTTATCGATATCGTGAAAAAAGAGAGTAAGTTATCGATAAATTGACATAAAGTTGATCTTTCGTGCTAATAGAAAGAACTACATTCTAAATTGCAAGTAGTTTTTAGTTCTTATAGCGTCTATAAGACAAACAGACAGACATGGCTAGCTCGCCTGCCCTCTTAATCCTGGCCAAGAATATTTTATAATACATCTGCATACAGCCAAAATAGCCGTTTTCAACTGGTACAGGGTATAAAAAAAATGTAAACGGCTGACATTGCAATCGAACCGAAGACAAACAACAGTCAATGCCAATTAAATGGGAATTTTAATTAGCGTAAGTTGCGCTGCATGACGTCACAGCAATCGGTAAATGTCGACGTCATCGATGAGTGGCCCCAAGAGTTAATGTGCAATGGAACTGTCCCCAACCAATATAATGATGGTGCAGGCATAACAGAAAAGCTTCCATTTGGGGCACCTTCAAGTTGAGTTTCCTTTCGAGTTATTCGAGTGTGCAATGTAATCAGAACAATACCCTGTAATCATTTGGAATGGGTAAAACGAACGGGTAACTCTTTTACAAAATCGATTTTAATCGGACATAATAAAAGCTAGAATTGATATACACAGTTGCACATTTCATTCATTTGAATATCTCCGCCCACATTTCACTAAAAATTAAAAAATTAGAGTTTTATGCATTTACTCCGATTTCTTTATTTGGGTGTCAACCGAAAATTGAATTTAAAATTTGATTGTTTATCAGAAATACATTATCGAAATTGGCAAAGGATCATGGATCGAATTTCGTTATGAAATTTATCGGTTATGCTTTAAACGATGACGTTTCCTTTGCTTTCCATTTTCTTAGCAATTTCCGTTTTGTGCATATGGAAACAGAATTGAATTTTAATTCATGGGCACATAAGCAACATTGCAATTGACAGATGACAAGGCAACCAACACACATGACGGGCCTTCAAGGGGAATGGGGGGTTGCGGGGTTGGTGGTTGGGGAGTTGGGTGTCGAATCCTGACGGCAAATTGAAATGCATGAAAGCAAAATAAACTATGTAACTGAAGAATACAAATTGATCAAATACAAAAACCAGCAA